ACCATGTTTCGTCAGATCTCTGGCACATGTAGCACATCATTCAGCATTAGAATCTTTCTTGAAGTCAATTTCAAGAGCACCTTTCATTTGCTGATGACCTTCAAAGTTTGTTAGCTTTTATGAAAATTTGCTTTCCATCAAATTGAGTTGTATACTCATAGAAGGAATTGTGGTCCCCACATATGTGCTTAGTAGCACCAGTGTCCAATACCCACTCCTTTGGATTATCAATGACATCCTCAATCAAATTGACTTTTGGTTTCCCAAAGTCTTTCTTCTTTTGGTACCAACAGTCTTTCTTGTAATGCCCAAGTTTGTCACATACATAGCATTTTCCTTTATTCTGCTACTTCTTGAATTTTTAATCATTTTTCACATTCAGATTCTTTTTAAATTTTGTAGTTGTTTCCTCAACCATATTGGTTTTGGAAATCTGATCCTCATCTTCTTTCTATTCTTTTTCTTCTATTTTAATTCGGACCACTGCTTGATCCAAAGTGGTGTCCTTTCTCTTATGATTCATACTTGTCTTGAAATCATTTCATGTATGTGACAATTTCATTATGAGAGAACTGGCAATGAGTTCATCTGGTAGTATCATAACTTCCTTTGCTAGTTTCCCATAAGGACTTGAAATCATCTATTTGGGTAGACACATTTGTAGACACTCCATTTTTGTGCTCTTCAGTTTTTCTGCAGCACTTTAAGCTTCAATCATGCTTCAGCTAACCTCACAGTCGACCTGGGGGTATTTTTGGAATTTTACAAAAGTTGGGGCCTTGAGGATCCAAGACCATAGGTACGTAGAGCCTAGAAACCCAAAACCAATGACACCAAGATCACCCAAATCCAACACCGTTTACCCCTTCATCTTGATACCCAAAGCCGAAACCAATTCCATTCGTCTAATTGGAGTCATTTTAATCCTAATCCTCATTTCACATCAAATCCAAAATCCAAGACCATAGGTACATAGAGCCCAAAAATCCAAATCCAATGATACTAAGATCACCCAAGTCTGACACCGTTTACCCCATCATCCTAAGACCTGAAGCCAGAACCGATTCCGATCATCCAATCGGAGTCATTTTGATCCTAATCCTCATTTAAATCAAATCCAAAATCTGATACTATAGGTACATAGATCCCAAAAACCGAAATCCAATGACACCAAGATCATCCAAATCTGACACCATTTACTCTATCATCCTAAGACCTGAAGCCGGAAACAATCCCAATTGTCCGATCGGAGTCATTTTAATCCTAATCCTCATTTAACATCAAATCCAAAATCCAAAACTAAAGTATGTAGGAACCAAAAATTTAAATTTAACGATGCCAAATTCACCCAAATTCAACACCGCTTACCCCTTCATCTCAAGAGCTGAAATCGGAATTTCATGCCAATCATTTCCTAATTAATTGTCTAAGCAACGTCTACTATCATTTTTTTGAAAATTGTTTAATTAGCTTCCTATATTTGCATTTACATATCTAAGTAGTGATCCTATTCGTACCTTGTCATATCACATTAAGTTTCTAGTTTGTATCCATAGTTAATTTATTTGTATTAGAATTATCATTAGGTCACCTTAACTTTAATTAATTACATGGTCATTTGCAAATTTAGGATTTCGCTCCTTTTGTTCTTTTAATCTGTTATCAAAATATGATTAATTTCCTTCTTCCATTAGCTAGTAATTTTTATCATTAGTTTAGAACTTGATAATGCTTTTTCAACATTCCCCTTATGATTTAAATAGGGTCATTTGTCAATTAATTTTCTTTAATGATATCAACCGTTCTTAGTTGTTTTAGTCCTACCATTATTATTCATGTATAGTTTACTGCTAGCTTATAGATTTTGCATTTAACTTTTCATATCTCCATGGCATGTACTAGGTTCCATCCATTAGTTACTCATTAGTCACAAGTTTTAGTTCTCTTTTTATTTTTTAATAATTAGTTTGTTAATTTACTAACCCACTCTATCATTATCGTTCTAATAGTTCAAATGCATCTCTTATTTAATTGATTAAATGCTTAGAACTTCCTCTTTTCTTTTTAGATTTCAATTGCTTAGTGTAGTGTGTGTTTTATTTCTAAGCCCAAAAATTATGAAAATTTCTTTGGAACATTGGTGAAGTAGAGGCCGGTTCAACCAGGTGTGTGTGGAGTGCCTATCACCTTCCCACACCATACTTTGGTCCCTGGATCCAAAGAATTTTATCCCCATTGGGCAACAAGTCACCAAAAAAACAAAATGTTTTTCTTGAAAAACCTTGAGTTTTCCTAAATTCCCAATTCCAAAAATTTAGGTAGCGACTCCAAACTCCATACCCCAATCCATCCCCCCTCCGGTCGGGTAGCCATAGCATTCATGTCTTCTTTCATGGTGAAATGCAGGAAATTGGTAATCACATATTTTTTATTTCTAGAATAGTAGACATTTTACAGTTCATTGGACAAGCAGTTGAGGATATGGTTTGTATTGTGTAGAGGTGGTCAATCATAGTCTAGTGTTCTGCAACAACAAAATGGGCTAGTTCCTCCATGTTTAATGGGTTTGGTTCAGTCAAAGCAAAGGCTACCCCTAACTATCCTAAGGTAAATAGAAGGCGTTGTGTCCAACGCTTGTAGTTGGTTCTATTGAAATGTTTAATCTTAGAGAAATCAGGAACTGTTGATAGTATTCGGTTCCTCATGAAGGGGATAGTGGAAATAGGTTCCATAAATGTAGTTTTATGATTTTTGGAAAATAGTAAAGAAGGCAAAATGAAACTTATAAGTAATCACTTTCCAAACCGAGAATTCGTACGAGTATAGTATTGCAAAACTACGAAATTGAGAATTTTCAGAGAAGAGTGTTGAGTCGTGCCACTTGGTTATTCTCCTTAAAACTACACTTGCCCCCTACGGTGCAATTGAGTGATTGCAAATTGATCACCAAGATAAAACAACCCATAGACCACTGGTAGACATGCACTCACTTACAAGACCTCCGTGAACCACAAAGAATGATGCTCAGATTGATAGAGAATTGAAAACTGTTGAATGTAGTGTTGTGTGAAACTGGGTCGACCAATACTCTTTTTATAGAGTGTTCTCAATCACCTGAATGGACATAGAAATGTCCTTTCAGACAAAGGCCCCTTCGGAACAGTGCACCTGTTCGAAGAGACATAAAGAGGAAGAGACACAAACGAACAAGAAAACGCTTACAAAACAAAAAATAAATTTAAAATTTAAAAGTCAAATGTTTAAATCGGTCAAAAGCAAAAACATCTAGTGTAACGCACATACAGACACCCGCACATGTATGGGAATATTTGTAATGCTTTTCCTCTTATGGGTCCTACCCATAGAGAGAAAAATTATAAATATACTCCAACTTTACTCATTTACCAAGTAATGTGGGACAAGGAGTCTTCCCATGCAAGAGAGGGAAGAGAAAAAGACAACTCAAAAATACAAGAGAGGGAAGAGAGAAAAAGATAAAACTCAAAAATACATGGTGACAGAGGTGATCAGAAAATGCATGAGAAGGCACCTTCATTGGGAATTCCTCTCTTTGATCTTGAGAAGCATTTGGTGCTTGATCTTGCAATTGATGGGGCCGATGAGGTGCATCCCTATCTGAATCTTGTTAAGAGCTGAGGTTGCTTTTGCTCAAGAAGAAGAGCTCCAATTGTCTAGACATCACTAGCAAAGAATTTGATTCTGCTTGAAGAAGCACAGCGGAAGGGGACAGAGAGAACAAGAGAGATGGATGGAGGAGGGAGGAAGTTGCTACTATTGCTGTTCAAGTTGCAGCTTTAGTGGCGGAATGGGGGAGATAAAGCGAAAAGAAAAATAAGAGGAGGAAGGAGGGAGTAAGGGGAAGAGGAAGAGAACCGGTCGAATGAGTTATCGGAGGAGGAGATTGTCACTCTACTTCCTCTGGTTTGAGTTGAAGTGGCGCGGTGGAACAGGGGAGAAAAAAGAAAAAAAGAGGGAGGAGGAGAGAGAGAGAGAATGATGAAAACAGGTCGAATGAGTTATCGGATGAGGAGGTTGTCGCTCTACTGCCACTATGTAGCTTGATCTCAGGTACGATGATAGTTAAAATTGAAGAAGCAAAGCGGAAGGGGAGGGAGTTTAAGATTAATCAATGTTGTTATGTTGTTATTAAAATCAAAATTAGATAAAATAATAGAATCTTTGTATTAATCAAAAGAAAATATTTCTAACATATTGAAAAATGGGTGAAATATAAAAAAGGGTAAAATGTAATCTACTAACATAGTTAATTGCTTAACAGCAAAATTACTAACATAGTGTAAAATGTAATCCACTAACAAAGTTAGTTGCTTTACACCAAAATCCTGCAGTTCCTATCACAAGAAAGGTAAAAGAGGGGCAGCTTTTATTACCTACTAGTGGAGAGAGAGAGAGAGATGGTGGTGGTGAAAACAGAGAGTTTGTTCATTAACAACTCTGTGGATTCAAAATTTATTTAACTGATTAAATATATTCGGTGGAGAAAGCAGAATGTCTGAACGGATTCCACCAGTTTGGAGGTGGAGCATAATTAGATACGTCATAAGACTTTCTGGATGGGAGTTCATCGATGAAGTCCACAAACAGGGAGCCAGAGAAGGTGTATAATTGTCTTCTCCTAACATCATTTCTAACATTTTCTATCCTCTGTTCAGCTTCTTTAACAGATCTTTGAGACTCCCTATCAAAGATTTTTTTCCATGTTATCCTTGAACCCAGAAAGATAACCCACTCATTCTTTCAATTCTGAAGTTAACAAATCCTGAAGCACATCCTTTCCCGAACCCTTAGTGCTAATGAAAATATCTTTAGCCTTCCCCAACAATTTTTTTATGTCCGAGAGAGTTGAAAATATATTATATGTTCTAAAGGATGAACTAACATACACTAAAACCAAAGAACAACAATAAAGAGGAGAGTTGTAAAAAAAATGAACATGAGGATAGAGTTTATTTGCGCACCTCTCTTTCCTTTCAGCAATACAAGGGACTCGTTCACCACCTCTCTTCTTTATTCTCTGCTGCTCAAGCTCTGCACTTCCGGTGATTGGAGGACTCTAAGAGCAGAAGAAGAAACTCAATCCTAAAGAAAACAAACAGTTAAGATTTGGTCTAAAAAGGTAGACAGTTCACATAAAATAAGATCACAATCACTTCTTTGAATTCACCACCTCTCTTCTTTATTCTTTGCTGCTCAAGCTCTGCATTTCCGGTGATTGGACTCTAAGACCAGAAGAAGAAACTCAATCCTAAAGAAAACAAACAGTTAAGATCTGGTCTTAAAAGGTAGACGGTTCACATAAAATAAGATCACAATCACTTCTTTGAATCACTGGTCAAGCAAGGGCTGTACCGTACCTCTTTATTATTTATTAAAGAATACAATTTACCTCTACAATTCATGTCACGAAACTTTTATGTAAATTCATCGAGCCCTTAGGGTGTGTTTGGTTCTACACAGAAAAAGAGAAAAATACAGTGTTGAGGAAAGTTCTTTAAGGATTTCATAAGGATTTCCCTCAACTTCTTTTTCTTATCTCTTCCAAGTTCTAAATGTCATGAAAAACTTACTTTTTTTTTTCGTAATGGAGGTTAGGAATGGTAATGGGGCAGGGTGGGGACGGGGAGCCTCTCCCCATCCCCGTCCATGCTAACGAGGTCATGGTTATCCCTATCTTCGCAGGGATCCCCATTTCGGTAATTTTTTATAATGTTAATCATTTTGTTTTTGTTTTTTATTTTATTTAAAAAAATAAAAATAAGATGATTAAAATTTACAATATTATTAGAAAAGATTCAAACATATTCAACCATATTTTTTAAAATATTAATATATAGATGTATGTGTACATATATACATATATAATATGTGCATACATATATACATATATATTAGTGGGGATCCCATGGTGGGCAGGGTGGAAAATGCTCTCCCCATCCCTATCACTACGGGGGAAAATCATCCCCATCCCCACCCTATTCGGAGCAGATCCTCATGGGGATCAAAGAAATGGAGAAGATTGTCATTGGTAATGAAAGTATTGTTGTTTTATACACATAATGTGCGAGTTTGACAAATCATATTCCATATATTATAAAAGAGTAGTTTATTATGACATTTATTTTGTTCTTATATAGCGTTAATTATAGAAGATAAAAAGAGAGCATATTTAAAAGCAGAGGCTATTCCAAATACAAAGAGTGTATTAGAATTAATGAGCACTTGATGCCAAAGGTGCGCATAGGGTAGAGCTACCTTATATTTTTTATTGAATAAAATATGAAAATAAGGCAAACAAAGAAAATGAAATACAGCCAAATATATGTAATAGACCCACAATATTAATTAATATCAAACTGTGTATAGGGACCCAGTAGTTTCATACAGATCCACCTACCGACCAAATTAAAGAGTTTTTTGGAGTTGAAAAGTCTTAGAGCCCGTTTGGTGTGTTTTTTTATAGTCTTTTAGTTGTTCATAAATTGGACAGACTGATTTTCGGTCTATTTTTGTTTGGCCTGCAAAAGATTAAGCCAACAAATGCCAAAATGCCCAAAAGATGTGAAAAGTCCATTTTGGGCTGATTTCGGAAAGCTCCAAATAAAGTTTTTCGTGTTTTATTTTCGCACGGAAAGACATGCATCTGACAAATGTGCTTTGAGCTGTTTAGGTCTTCATAAAAAAGATCAATGCATCTTTTGACTATCAGAGCTATCAGAAGATCTTCTCAAATATACTGCCAAATGGGCCCTTAGCATCTCAAATAATTAATTAGGGTGAAGGGAATACGGGACTCACTTTCTCTAGATTTTTTTCATGATTTCACGATAATTTTATGTAAATGCTTCTAACCCTTAGGTTATGTTTGGTTTGAAGGAAAATGCAAAGAAAGGAAGAGAAATGCACAGAAACCTATACAAGGTTTGTAAAGGTTTTCTTACATTTTCCTTCCTTTCCTTACGTTTTCCTTTAAACCAAATGCAGCTTATAGGGTGTGTTTGATTCTATACAAAAAAGGAGAAAATTGGATTGTTAGCAAAGTTCTTGAAGGATTTCATAATAATTTTCCCTCAAGTTCTTTTTTCATGGTTTTCAAAATTGGATTGGACTGGATGGTCAAATTGGTTGGGTGATCGGTTCCGTTTTATCACAGAACTATTAGTTTGCCAAAAACCATTGATTTGGTAAGCAAACCGCTGACCTAGGCGGTCAAACCAATCAAATTGTCCAAAGGTTTTGGCCATTTTTTTTATTTTTTATTTTGTCAGAACAGGCCATCCGTTTAGTTTGAACAATCAAACTGTTTGACACAGGAACCAGACCCTTGACCTGTTGTTTGGTTCAGTTTTAAAAAGCTTGTTTATTTAGTTCTTGTATAGCGTTAATTTGGCAAGATCAAGGTTTTCAAAACTGAACCAGACAATGAACTGATTAGGGGTCTGTTCTCGGGTCAAATAGTCTGATCATCTAAATTGAACAAACAGCCCATTCTGACAAAAAATAAAAAAAATAACAAAACCCATTGAACAATTTGATTAGATTAAACAGTTTGACCGTCTGAATCAACAATTTACTGATCAAATCAACAGTTTTTGACGAAATAACAATTTTAAGATAAAACAGAACTCATCACCTGATTGATTCTCAATTTTTTCAGTCTTACCATCTGGTACAACCATCCCGAAGGGTCCGATTTTAAAGACCATTGGCAAAATAAAGAGAGCATATATAGTATTTGAAAGCGGAGGCTATTCCAAATAGAAAGAGCTTGTCAGAATTAAATTAGTGGGTAGAGCTCCCTTATGTTCTTTATCTATTTTGTAAATTATTTTACAGCGGCAGTTCAACAAAATATAAAAATAAAATACAAATTAGAAAATGAAATACAGTCAAAAATATATTATAATATAACCACAATATTAATTAATCACAAGTTGTACATAGGGACCCACTAGTTTTATAGAGACCCAACTAATCGTTGTGTCCATATCTGCCGACAAAATTAAAGACTTGGAGTTGAAAAGTCTTAGAATCCCAAATAATTAATTAGGGTGAAGGGAGTAGGGGGACTCACTTTCTCAAGATTTTTTTTTTTCTTGATACAAGTGGATGACTTTTGATTCAATGAAACTTGTGTGTCTGTGGGGACAATCTTTGTCCCTCACTTTGTATTCGCATTTTCATTTTGATGGTAATTGTCCAACTTTTTCTCACTTATCTTAAATTTAAATTTATCCGACATTTTCAAAACTTATAAGAAATTTTTATAGTTAAAATTAATTTATCTTTGCATCAATTATCGTTTGTTATCATCTCAATTGAACAAACGGCCCATTTTAACAAAAAATAAAAAATGACAAAACCTATTAAACAATTTGAACAGATTAAACAATTTGACGACCTGGATTAACAGTTTACTGACCAAATCAATAGTTTTTAATGAAATAATAATTTTAGGATAAAATAATTTTTCCAGTCTGACCATCCAGTACAACCATCCCCGAAGGGTCCGATTTTGAAGATCATTGACAATATAAAAGAGAGCATATATAGTTTTTGAAAGCAGAGGCTATTCCAAATACAAAGAGCTTGTCAGAATTTAATTAGTTCTTGTATAGCGTTAATTTGGCAAGATCAAGGTTTTCAAAACTGAACCAGACAATGAACTGATTAGGGGTCTGTTCTCGGGTCAAATAGTCTGATCATCTAAATTGAACAAACAGCCCATTCTGACAAAAAATAAAAAAAAAATAACAAAACCCATTGAACAATTTAATTAGATTAAATAATTTGACCGTCTGAATCAACAATTTACTGACCAAATCAACAGTTTTTAATGAAATAACAATTTTAGGATAAAACAGAATTCATCACCTGATTGATTCTCAATTTTTTCAGTCTTACCATCTGGTACAACCATCCCGAAGGGTCCGATTTTGAAGACCATTGGCAAAATAAAGAGAACATATATAGTATTTGAAAGCGGAGGCTATTCCAAATAGAAAGAGCTTGTCAGAATTAAATTAGTGGGTAGAGTTCCCTTATGTTCTTTATCTATTTTGTAAATTATTTTACAGTGGCAGTTCAACAAAATATAAAAATAAAATACAAATTAGAAAATGAAATACAGTCAAATATATTATAATAGAACCACAATATTAATTAATCACAAGTTGTACATAGGGACCCACTAGTTTTATAGACCCAACTAATCGTTTTGTCCAGCTGCCGACAAAATTAAAGACGGAGTTGAAAAGTCTTAGAATCCCAAATAATTAATTAGGGTGAAGGGAGTAGGGGGACTCACTTTCTCTAGATTTCTTTTCATGAAACAAGTGGATGACTTTTGATTCAATGAAACTTCTGTGTCTGTGGGGACAATTTTTGTCCCTCACTTTGTACTCGCATTTTCATTTTCATAGTAATTGTTCAACTTTTTCTGTAATTGAATTCAAAGGAGATGATGATATTATTGATGTTGATTTTGGACAAGCACTGGACTCATATGTGTCTCAGGCTTTCTATGAAACAATCATGGCGTGTAGCTTAGAAGCTAGATTCAGACTCTTAGTTGTGACTTCTTCTCTTTCTGGTTTAAACCCATTGCGTTGAAATCATGGTTTTTAAAACCAAACCAGTCAAGGCATCGCTTTCTGGTTTGGTGGTTCAACCGTCCAGGTCAAACGGTTTGACCTGTGACATCATAAATAAATGGACACTATAGAAAACAAGACTCAAATTGTACTTAACCTTGCAACTAGGGAGTAATTGTCAATGAAATCTACATTTTTCTCTTGTCTTAACCTTTTAACAACTAATCTGACTTTGAATTTATCTATTATACTATCGGGTTTTAATTTTTTCTTAAAATTTCATTTACAATCAGTGCCTTAGTTGCAAGAGGAAGATCTATAAGTTCCCAAGTGTGATTAGTGACTAAAGAGTCTATTTTACTTTTTATGGTTTATTTCCAAAGTATTACATTGGATGATGTTATGGCTTCCTGATAGGTTACTAGGTCCTTGTCCCCTAGAAATGTGAACATTCTTTCACTCAAGCTTGTTTATTTCCTTTGTATTTTACTTCTCCTTAAGTCTGGTTCTTGATTACTAAAATCGATGTTGCCTTGACTAAGTGATGTACTAATTCTTTGAGCACTCAATTGTTCTTGGTTTTGTTTTGGATTTAGGAGGGTTCCATATTTATTGTTTCTTTTCTCTAAGGAAGAATGTACTAAAAGAATTCTGCATCTTGGTACTCTTTTATTGTGTTGTTTTCTACAACATTATCAATCATTTTAATTACAAGAAACCAATAAGTCACATTGTTTTGTACATATCCAATGAACACATAGTTACAGGGTTTTGGTCCCAATTTCTTTCTTTTAGGTTCAGGTATTCTAAACTTCGCTAAGCAACCCCAAACTTTTAGGTAGTTCATACTAGATTCCCTATCATGCCATAGTTCAAAAGGTATTTGTCTTTTCTTCTTGGGCGGTATTCTATTATATAAGTGATAAGCCATTAGAATTGCTTCCCCCACAAGTTCAGATATGCACCTGAACTAATTAGCATAGCATTCATCATTTCTTTTAATGTTATGTTAAATCTTTCTGCAAGTCTATTAGATTCAGGTTGATAAGGGGTTGTGGATTCATGTATGTTTCTATATTATTTAAAGAAATTCTATTAGTGTTCTATTAAGTCTTCTGCAATTTCATTAGATTCAAGTTGATAAGGGACTGTGGTATCATATATGATTCCATATTCTTCAAAGAATGCCTTTTTATTTTATTTCCTAATTGATTTTCTACTTCAGCTTTGTAGTTTATAAAAGCTTAATCAACTTCTTCTTCTGATTTAAGTATGACTTCTTTTTCATATCTAGGAAAGTCATCTGTAAATGTTATATAATACTTTTTCCCTCCTCTAGCTTCATAACATTTAAGGTCTCCTAGATCACTGTGTATAAGTTGTAATAATTTAGTTTCTCTTTGTACACTTTTATGAGGTTTCTTAATGAATTACACATACTTGGCATTTTTCATTGTAAAATTAGTAGGAACATTTAAAACTCATAATTTACATAACTGTTTTAAATAAGAAGCACTATTATGTCTTAATCTAGCATGCCAAATATCAAATGATTCAACAGTATAAAGAGAAGAAGAAGCATTCATATTCATAAAAGTATTACAAATATTTAGTACAAACAATCCACCAGCATTGTATCATTATCATTTTCCAATAAATACAATATTTTAGTTAACTCAGTCTTGTTTGTTTCAAATATGAGCTTCAATCCTACTTTGTTGAGGAGTACTCCCAATACCATGTTTCGTCGGATCTCTGGCACATGCAAACACATCATTCAGCATTAGAATTTTTCTTGAAATCAGTTTCAGGAGCACCTTTCATTTGCTGATGACCTTCAAAGTTTGTGAGTTTTCCGTGAAAACTTGTTCTCCATCAAACTGAGTTGTGTACTCATAGAAGGAGCTGTGGTCCCCACATATGTGCTTAGTAGCACCAGTGTCCAATACCCATTCCTTTGGATTATCAACTAAGTTTTCCTTAGTTAACATGGTCGCAATGACATCCTCAATCAAATTGACTTTTGGTTTCCCAAAGTCTTTCTTCTTTTGGTACTAGCAATCTTTCTTGTAATGCCCAAGTTTGCCACATACATAGCATTTTCCTTTATTCTGCTACTTCTTGAATTTCTAATCATTTTTCACATTCAGATTCTTTTTAAATTTTGTAGTTGTTTCCTCAACCATATTAGTTTTGGAAATTTGATCATCATCTTTCTTTCTGTTATTTTCTTCTATTTTAATTTGGACCACTGTTAGATCCAAAGTAGTGTCCTTTCTCTTATGCTTCATATTTTTCATGAAATCATTCCATGTATGTGATAATTTCTCTATGAGAGAACTGGCAATGAATTCATCTAGTAGTATCATAACTTCCTTTGCTAGTTTCCCCATAAGGACCTGAAACTCATTTATTTGGGTAGACACATTTGTAGACACTCCATTTTTTTGCTCTTCAGTCTTTCTACAGCACTTTAAGCTTTAATCATGCTTTAGCTAACCTCGTGGTCAACCTGGGGGTATTTTTAGAATTCTACAAAAGTTGGGGCCTCGAGGATCCAAGACCATAGGTACATAGAGCCTAAAAACCCAAACCCAATGACACCAAGATCACTCAAATCCAACACCGTTTACCCCTTCATCCTGATACCCGAAGCMGAAACYGATWKYGATCRTCYGATYGGAGTCATTTTAATCATAATCCTCATTTCACATCAAATCTAAAATCCAAGACCATAGGTATGTAGAGCCCAAAAATCTGAATCCAACGACACTAAGATCACCCAAGTCCGACACCATTTACCCCATCATTCTAAGACCTGAAGCCGGAACTAATTTCGATCGTCCGGTCAGTCATTTTGATCATAATCCTCATTTAAAATCAAATCCAAAATCTGATACCATAGTACATAGATCCCAAAAATTGAAATCCAATGACACCAAGATCACCCGAGTCTGATACCATTCTCTATCATCCTAAGATCTGAAACCGGAAATGATCCCGATTGTCTGATTGGATTCATTTTAATCATAATCCTCATTTAATATCAAATCCAAAATCCAAGACCATAGGTATGTAGAAACCAAAAATCTGAATCCAACGACGCCATGATCACCTGAATTCAACACCGCTTACCCCTTCATCTCAAGAGCTAAAACTGGAACCAATTCCGATCATCTGATCGGGATCATCTCTGATCCTAAATCCTAATCCCAACAAAATCTGAAATCCACCCTTATATATGGATAGATCCCGAAATTCCGATTCCAACGGTACCAATATCGTCCAATTCCGACACCGTTAGCCTCTCCATCTTGAGACCCAAAGCTAGACTCTATCCGAGCCCTCTATTTAGAATCCTCTTCACAATAATTTCGAACCTAGGGAATTGCACGACCATAGCTTCCCCTCAGCCTCTAGAAACATCTTAAAATCTAAAATTTGACCAGCTATAGCTTCCAATCAATCAAGCCAATCACCTAAACTTGGAATGTCCAGTTTAGGTAAATTGGTGAAATCTATCACTCTTTGTCTTAATTGATTGGGAGAATCTCTCACAAAGCTGTCTTGACAGCCCATTCTCTCAATCAATCTCCCTCCAAAAGCCATTCAAACATCAGCCATTGATCTCTCTTATCTTCTATCTTAGCCCTCCATTCCCCTCTCAAAAAATCTATAAATACCACCCATTTCTCACATCCTAGACACACAAGAAAGCCTAGAGCAATTATTCTATACTCACTAGTATAGAGAATACCCCCCTTCACATCCCAAGCAGACCCAAGCTTCCCTAACCCATGTCCTATACGCTTTCTCCACCATCTCTCACGTCCCTAGAGTTTCCTCATATCAGTGTTTCAGTCCAAGGGCTCCCCAAGTCATGGATACATCTAAGCAAAAAAGTGTGAATCATTCTTGAAGCAAAGTTCTTGTTGCGGAAAAGTTACATCCATCCAGCATGTTTTCTCACATTTTGGGATATATAATCAATACCATTAGCCTCCCAAATAACTGAGAATTCATCTAGAAACCAAGGAGTCTCTTAAGATTTCAAAGGCATCATGAAGGACATAACAAGGGTAGCTGTCAAGGTCGGAGTTATTGAGGAAAGCTATTCAATGTAATGATAAAATGGGAGAGGCGACTCCTATCACAGGGGCAGCTTTTATACCTACTAGTGGAGAGAGAGAGAGATGGTGGTGGTGAAAACAGAGAGTTTGTTCATTAACAGGGAGCCACCAGTTTGGAGGTGGAGCAGAATTAGATACGTCATAAGACTTCCTGGATGGGAGTTCATCGATGAAGTCCACAAACAGGGAGCCAAAGAAGGTGTATAATTGTCTTCTCCTAACATCATTTCTAACATTTTTTATCCTCTGTTCAGCTTCTTTAACTGATCTTTGAGACTCCCTATCAAAGATTTTTTTCCATGTTATCCTTGAACCCAGTAAGATAACCCACTCATTCTTTCAATTCTGAAGTTAATAAATCCTGAAGCACATCCTTTCCCGAACCCTTAGTGCTAATTAAAATATCTTTAGCCTTCCCCAACAATTTTTTGTAAGTCCGAGAGAGTTGAAAATATATTATATGTTCTAAAGGATGAACCAACAAAAACTAAAATCAAAGAACAACAATAAAGAGGAGAGTTGTAAAAAAATGAACACGAGGATAGAGTTTATTTGCACACCTCTCTTTGCTTTCAGCAATACAAGGGACTCTTTCACCTCCTCTCTTCTTTATTCTCTGCTGCTCAAGCTCTGCACTTCCGGTGATTGGAGGACTCTAAGATCAGAAGAAGAAACTCAATCCTAAAGAAAACAAACAGTTAAGATCTGGTCTAAGAAGGTAGACAGTCTACATAAAATAAGATCACACCCAAATACCTTAGGGTGTATTTGGTTCTATACAGAAAAAGAGAAAAATACAGTGTTGAGGAAAGTTCTTCAAGGATTTCATAAGGATTTTCCTCAACTTCTTTTTCTTATCTCTTCCAAGTTCTAAATGTCATGAAAAACTTACTTTTTTTTCATAATGGAGGTTAGGAATGGTAATGGGGCCGGGCGGGGACGGGGAGCCTCTCCCCATCCCCGTCCATGCTGACGAGGTCTTGGTTATCCTTATCTTCGCAGGGATCCCCATTTTCGCAGGGACCCAGTAGTTTTATAGAGACCCAAGACCCAACTAATCGTTGTGTCCAGCTGCCGACAAAATTAAAGACTTGGAGTTGAAAAGTCTTAGAATCCCAAATAATTAATTAGGGTGAAGGGAGTAGGGGGACTCACTTTCTCTAGATTCTTTTTTCTTGATACAAGTGGATGACTTTTTTTTATTCAATGAAACTTCTGTGTCTGTGGGGACAATCTTTGTCCCTCACTTTGTACTCGCATTTTCGACAAGCACTGGACACATATGTGTCTCAGGCTTTCACTTTGTATTCGCATTTCAGACTCTTAAGGGACTTGAATCTTAATATATTATTGTGTTGGGATGGACATGTAAGTATATGGATGAGGAGTGAGAGAATCTCACTTTAGAAACTCACAAGGAGTAATGTGATTTTGACAGGTGGCAGCCCGGTGTTATATTGATTTTATCGGTCTTATTAATACTAATTGTTTTTAAACCGAATCGGTCAGGGCACCGTTTTCTGGTTTGGTGGTTCAACCATCCAGGTTGAACGGTTCGACCTGTAACATCATAAATAAATAAAAAAATAAAAAAAATATTTGTATATAATAAAAAATATCATCAAAATTTAAATAAAATACATAGAAAAATACAGGAAAAAGAACAACATATGAAAAATAAAAATATCTAAATATAAAAATAATAAAATATAGAAAATACAGAAAAAATTCCAATGAATACAGAAAATTTTCCAAAAAATATAGAAAAAATATGTAAGCAAGAACATGTAATGAGCTCTCATTCTAGAATTCCTACAGAAGAGGAATCTCTCATGGGACTCTCCATCATTACTCGTGATAGTTCATGAAATAAAAAAATACTAACTCGTGAATCGCTGCCTGGGTCGAATGGTTTAGTGGTCCGACCACCTGGATCAACAGCTTTTTGACCTTTTCAATGTTTTCTAACAAATTCCGGTTTTAAGTAAAACTAAACCTGGAGGCTGTTGGGTTTTTCTGGTCCGACCATCTGGTCGAATCTGGTTTTAAAAACCATGGTTAAAATTGATCGATGTATTTTTACATTGATGAAGTTTATATAAAAAAGCGAGAAGTAACAGTTGATTTTGGAGGGAATGAGCCAAAGATGGAATTCTCAAATACATGCTGAAGGTGATGGAAGTATGTAAAATACTTGTGGATTTGTATATTGGAATTCCTAGAGCAGCTTCAGTACTTTCAAGATGTCACTTTGGCTAGCTCTTCTCGTCTTTGATGAAACCATGATTTTCAAAATCGGATTGGATGAAATCATGATTTTCCAAATTGGATTGGACTGGACAGTTGGACCGGAATAACAATTGGTCAAGTGACTAGTTTCATTTTACTCTAAAACCATTATTTTGATAAAAACCATTAATTTGATCAATAAATCATTGATCTTGATGGTTGAACTATTTTAATCGTTTAAGAGTTTGACCGTTTTTTATTTTTTTTATTAGAACGGACCATCCGTTCAATTCTAACAACGGATCGTTCAATCCAGAACCGAATCCCTGACTGATTCATTGTCTAATTCAACATTAAAAACCTTGGATGGAACAGTCAATCCCCGCAGATACCTATTAGATATAGGTCTTCCATTACCCTGATGGCCATTTAACGTCCGGAGATGGGGTGTAAGTGTAACTGACAGTGTCAAAAAGGGACGATAATGTCATTAGCATAAAGCAATTGGGAGATATTCCCATGGATCTCCCTTAAGAATTACAAATGCAAATAAATATATAGAGTGCAAAAACTTTTATTTTCTATTATTTCATATATTGTACGTAGTTGTATTTATAATCTTTCAAAACTGACCCTTACTATTCTTATTTCATGAATGAATTAGACATGTTTGTCAATTTAACTGATCTGATTAATCTATTATTTCTGTTTCTTTTCATGCCTCTTTCTAAGTATACCAACCTGTTGGCAATATATAATTAGTGATTATAATTAATAATTACTGTTATTATAAATATTGTTAATAATAAGATATTTACTTTAAAATTATAAATACTGTTATTAAAAAATATTGTTAATAAATGACTGATTATTACAGTAATTACTGTTATTATAAATATTGTTAATAAATAAATATTTATTTTAATTTTACTTTAAATTAAAATTATAAATACAGTTATTAATAAATATAGTAATTATTGTTATATTAAAAATAATTAAAACTTTTATTAAAAGTATGTGATTATTTAATAAAATATTATAATTAATGACTGTTACTGATAAATAATTATTTAAAAATAATTAAACCTCCCTTCCGTTACTGATTCAAACAGAAAACCGATAAAATTATGAAATTGCCCTAGAATTTTTTTTTTTTTTTTTTATGTCCGAGAGAGTTGAAAATATATTATACGTTCTAAAGGATGAACCAACGTAAACTAAAATCAAAGAACAACAATAAAGAGGAGAGTTGTAAAAAAATGAACATGAGGATAGAGTTTATTTGCACACCTCTCTTTCCTTTCAGCAATACAAGGGACTCTTTCACCACCTCTCTTTTTATTCGCAGGGATCCCCATTTTCGCAGGGATCCTTATCTTCTCATGGGACTTTCCGTCATTACTCGTGATAGTTCATGAAATAAAAAAATACTAACCCATGAACCGCTGCCTGGGTCAAATTGTTTAGTGGTCCAACCGCCTGGATCAGCAGCTTTTTGACCTTTTTAATGTTTTCTAACAAATTCTGGTTTAAGTAAAACCAAACCTGGGGGCTGTTTGGTTACCGGTTTTTCTGGTCCAACCATCTGATCCAGTCCGGTTTTAAAAACCATGGTTAAAATCGATCGATGTATTTTTACATCGATGAAGTTTATATAAAAAAGCGAGAAGAACAGTCGGTTTTGGAGGGAATGAGTATAACTTAGTAGTGTTTTAACTACTTTTAAAGTTTCTAAGAAGTATGTAACGTGTTCAAAAATTTATTGGACCAAGGAGAGGAAGAAAAGTGCTGCCCAACAGAAACTCAAGCCAAAACAGACCTCCGACCAGGCTCGGAAGAAGACAATGTCTAGAGCCAAAGATGGAATTCTCAAATACATGCTGAAGCTGATGGAAGTATGTAAAATACTTGTGGATTTGTATATTGGAATTCCTAGAGCAGCTTCAGTACCTTCAAGATGCCACTTTGGCTAGCTCTTCCCGTCTTTGGTGGAACCATGGTTTTCAAAACCGGAATGGACTGGATAGTCGGACCGGAAAAAAAATTGGTCAGGTGACTAATTTTATTTTACTCTAAAACCATTAATTTGTTAAAAACGGTTGATTTGATCAATAAACCGTTGATCTTGGTGGTTGAGCCATTTCAATCGTTTAACAGCTTGGCCATTTTTTTTTTGTTAGAGCAGACCTTCCGTTCAATTCTAACAATGGGTAGTTCAACCTAAAACTGGATCCCTAACCGATTCATTGTCCAATTCAACATTAAAAACATTGGATGGAACAGCCAATCCCCGCAGATACCCATTAGATATAGGTCTTCCATACCCTGATGGCCATTTAACGTCCGGAGATGGGGTGTAAGTGTAACTGACAGTGTCAAAAAGGGGACGATAATGTCATTGGCATAAAGCAATTGAGAGTTCACATCTGCATCCACAGATGTAGTACATCTGGACCGTGTATTAGAAACATCTCCCAATAATAAATACGGGAGATATTCCCATGGATCTCCCAATGATAAATACGGGAGCCATGTATGCTTAGATGTATATGTGGGGCGCTGATTTAATTGTAAAACAGGATAAAGTTTAACAACTTAAAAAAGTCTGGGAGGTTTCAGCAATTTATTCAATTCATATTTCAATAAGCTACATTTACAAGAAGCACAAATGCAAATAAATATATAGAGTGCAAAAACTTTTATTTTGTATTATTTTGTATATTGTACGTTGATGTATTTATACTCCTTCAAAACTGAACCTTACTACTCTCATTTCATGAATGAATGACACTTTTGTCAATTTAACTGATCTGATCAATCTATTATTTCTGTTTCTTTACATCCCTCTTTCTAAGTATACCAACTTGTTGGCAATATATATGTTACCACAAATCTGAACTCAGTAATGGGTGAACCACCCATGTCCTGATTATGCAGTCAAGTTCATGGCCATGTTACAGAAGCATCAAGCACATTGGAATCTTATATATATATATATATATAGGATAAGGGTGCTTCTCTCCAGTTATTAAGTCTAGGGTGTCCATTGACCTTTTTTTTGTTGTGTGTAAAATTCAGCACCATTTGATGTAGTCCACTATCTTTATTAATTTGGAGAACTTTTTATTTGATTTCTCAATCTTTCTCTTCTTATCTTCATAGGGGCAAATTTGTGAGTATTTTCAATTTCTAAACAGTTTCGACAACATTCAAACAAGACCAATTTAATTCTTTTCACTTGTTACCAATCTCTACAAAAGTAAATATTCTTTTATCAGTTTCCTTAGCTTTTTCGGTTCGGGAATCTCTTTTAATGGAAAAAATTTTAAAATTTTCAATGAAATTTTAATTCTACATATTTAAAGGCTTAACTTCTCATTTTTTTTTTAATTTTTCTCTCAAATTTTCAAAATTTTCTTTCTTTCCTTAACCCCAACTTAAATGCCATTGTCTCCAATGGCATGACTAAAATGGTGAAAAAGGGACTTGGGCCAAAGGGAACAATTAAGAGGTAAGGATTCAACATGGGTTCAAGATTTGCCAATTGAATTCTAAAACTTATTCAAAAGAAAAGACAAACTCTAACAAGATAACTAAAATAAAACTTCGTTGGCTTGCCTCCCAACCAGCGCTAAGTTTAACATCTCCAGCCAGACGCATTCACTCATTTCTCACATTTACACTTCTAGACTCGCTTTCTTCATTACACAAACAGAGCTTAGATTGGGCTAACCAAAGGGTAGATAGGGCATCTACAAGGTCGTTCACTACATCTACCTTGAACTCATCTTCCCCTAGGTTTGGATACTTAGTAGCACTAAATACATTTAATTAGACTTTTTAATCCCCAAATGAAATATCCATTTCTCCCGATTATCGGGTTATGGTTTAGTTCCTCAGTTGGGGTCATGTCTAGTATGATAAAATCCATAGGGAATTAACAATCCTC